TTTTTTCGTTTTACTTTATCGGAGCCTACTTGGGAAACGTGTTCTCACGACACGGGATCTCAGGGAGACTAGTGTTTTTGGAGAGTATTTAGAGTATGAAGCTAGAGCTTCGAAGCAGACTGAGCAGCACGAGGTCGAAGGTCTGTAGCGTGGGAATTCCCATCGCACTGACAATGAGGTTACTCTGTGAGATTAAAACCTCGACTACATTGTTTTGAGCATTCATCTCTCTCTGCCTTGTGCTTCACCGCCTAGTTGCCGTGCTGCATGCCGTGTCCTTCCTTGTGGTCGTTTTTGGCATTGTGCAGCAGTGTTGCCTCTACTGCGTTGCCTGGTGCTCCGCAGGGTTGCTGCCCGCTGCTGTTATGCTTGGGGACAGTCTGCCTTCAACATGGGTCAAAGGGCTCATGTGGCATATTGCGCATCCACATGGGCCTGCAGGGCCTGACCAGACGGAAAATAAGGGCCCTCCAGGCCCTGTGTCGTTTCAGCCTAAAAGCCTGAAAAAGAGGGCCATTTTCAGGCCCTCATAAAGTCGACCTACCCTGAAACTTAGGCGCTAGACCAGGGTTTAGTGCAGGCCATTTTTGGGCCTGTTTCAAGACAACCTTTGTTTGAACTTCAACGCCAGGGTCTGGCACGTTTCGGCATTGGCAAGAGCAGCCTCCCGGACGGGCCAGCACTATATAGTACTGGCCCGCCCTGCAGGCTGCAGGTAGTTCACGGGGACTTCCCAGGCAGTTCACGGGCACTTCACGCGCAAGAGGCAGGAGGCAGTCTTCAGGAGTTGGCCGCAGCACTCTGGAGGAGCGCTGCAGTAGTAGTAGCTAGTGCTAGAGTAGTCTTCAGAGCTGGGCGCTGCTAGGAGGTAGAGTAGCATTGGGAGAGAGAGAGAAGGGCAGAGGCCAGGGAGACTTACCTGTGGCGCCATAGCTCCAGCTTCGTCTTCGATGTACCTGCAACAAAGTGCCACCTCACAGGTTAGTACTTGGTACAAGAGGGAGAGCGAGAGAGTTCTTCTTCTTCCTCCTCTAAGTCCACCATCTCTCCCTCACCCTCTCGCCACCTGACTTCTCGGTATCTGCAGACTACGAGAGAGAGAGAGAGATTGGTGACTTTGGGACTTGACGACATTTGGATTCAGACTCGACATTGGGATTGAGAGATTGGACGAGGGATTATTTGGGACCTGTACCGAAGACTTGGTGTTGACGACATTCCCATCTTCCCCCTCTTCTTCGTCTAA